CCTTTCGGTTGCATGGTTTCGTGGACATCCTCATAGCGACGAGTTGTAAGTGAAATCCCTTTGACATCTGTCTGATCACTCGCCGTGCGAGGTATAGAGTGAAACCGACCACGACCTCCAGCGTGGATGTAGGCCACCACCAGCGTGGATGCAACCCATCACAAGCGTGGATGTAACCCACCACAAGCGTGGATGTAACCCACCATATGGGTGGGTGTAGCTTACCACTAGCGTGGATGCAACCCACGACAAGTGTGAATGAAGCCTACCATCAGCGTGGATGTAAACCACCACCAGCGTGTGTGAAACCTACCCCAAGTGTGGACATAGCCTACCACCACCTTGGATGTACCAGCCACCAGTTTGATATAACCAACCACCAGCGTGGATGTAACCGAGCACCAGCGTGGATGTAACCCCCACTAGCGTGGAAGTAACCCTTTATGAGCGTGGATGTAACTTTCCTCCAGCGTGGATGTAACCGAGCACCAGCGTGGATGTAACCTGCCAACGGTGGGGATGTAACCAATCAACAGTGTTAACTGCAGACGAGAGATAAAAAGAATCATGGCACGACTCCCTCTTCACATGGCTAAAGATGCGTTATGCTTGTTGTTTGCAACAAGCTATTCTTCCGGGATGATGACAGGTGCAGGTGTTCCTAATTCGAGAAGGCCGCTGGGAAACCAATTAAGAAGTATACTTCGTGTTTCTGCGTTATGCCGAGCAATTTTAAGTGTTCTTTGTAATTCCATGATATATTTGATGCACTCTGACTGTACTTAATACTTCTATGTTACATACAATGACTATAAATATACTTAAAACTTCTATGTGGTATATGAAGGCTATAATTATGCTCAATAGTTAATGATGTCAACACCACGAAGCATACTATACTTAAGAAAACGATAGGAAGTTCCCGCTTACATCACCACTATGACCGATCCAATGCTATGAGCCCCTCTGTTGCGCCTTGTCCAGAGCTGCCACAGCAGAGCTGCGATGTCTAACCAAGGAGTGCAGACTCTGCAGTGTAGTGCCATGTACTTGCCCGCAGTGACGATATTCGCCAGCGTTGTGCCGCCGGTCGCGGAGTGACAGTCACGACGTGACCAGCGCAGCTGCCCCGCCCCCCTCCCCCCTCCCACGGCTTCAGCCGCCCATCCGTTTCCGTTCAGCTCTGTGGCCGATTTATGGCCGATGTTGCTTCCGCTCCCACAAATCATTTGCGTTCGGGCTGCGCGAATTGTATAACTTTGTGGCGAGTATTCTCATCATGGCGCAGACTCCTGTGCAGGATGTGTCTGAGTCCCGAGACAAGACTTCAGACACAGAAGAATGCCTGGAAAAACAGTATGTAAAAGATTCTGAATCGAAAGCACTTTTCCACGAAATCACAGAAGCGATCTAAGTTTGTAGAAGAGCTCGCGATATCGTTGATCCAATGTTGCATGGCTTCTTGGAGAAAACGACAGCACGCTAGGCCGGCTGCAGTAGTCTTTAAAGTTTACAGGCAGAGCTGCCTGTCCGAGGGAACAGCGACCAAATAATTGATGTCCAGCATGCACACGAGAGATTTTCTTCCCATATGTCCCTGTACATCGTCACCTTAGCTGTGCGCCTCATCAGCGCCGACGCGTGACTTTGTTGCGCGAAATCGGCGAGCGCTATAGAAGTGCCTGTCAGTTTCGAATTAATGTTATCCCCATTGGTTTACAAGCGCTTCTTGAAACAGATCAAATGGCGGTACTCAGGCACATGCAGCAACCGCCTATCAGCACGCACGCGCGTATAAAGAGGGCGGGGGAAGGGGGGGGGGGAGCGGTCACTGACAGATTTCCGTCAAGGTTGTAAGCCATTCACCCCAAGTCGCTATCTCAAAAACTGGCTCACATAAGAAGTTTGTTTACCATGACCCACATACGTCATACGTCTCCGGTAGACAATACATCACTCCCAGTTCCCGTCGGGTATCCTGTCAGCCAGAGATCGAGTCGCCCAGGAAATCCTATCAATTATAATGAATGCATCCATAAGTGATGCCAAAACAAATCGTGCGTAGCACGCCAGAGGCCTTTTCAAGCGTTTTTGAAAGAGTCATCTCCGTCGCTTAGTGAAGCAGGCCCGTGAGCACCGGTTATCATTTATGATAAGAAATGCCAGCGTATCGGTATCTTTGTCATACCGACCCGTCTAAGTTTTCCGACCGTGAGCCGTTTCCGTGCTGCGACGTCTTCCCGACGTCCCCTCCTGCACCCGTGCCAACCTCCGGGAAAGTCACCTTCATTGAGCATAAGCTGAAGGGGAGGAGACCCTTTTATGGTTTGGAGGCCAGTCACATGGTCTGGAGACCGTTTCATCGTGCAGCGTTTTTCGCCCGACCGATGGCCGTGCAAAGCACAAATCATCTCGGCATCTTCCTCTCACGGCCAAATCCGGCAGCCCATCAGCGAACACATACCAATGACCGAGGCTGTAGTGTCCAAATCGATACTCGACTGAGCTCATCCCAAGGCAACGGGAAGGGGCTTATCAAGCTTTGTAACAGACAAAGAGCACATGAAAAGAAAAGATGGAACGCCGCGGTGGCTTTTACCGCGTGGCAAAGAGATAACGCTGTTGAATGAGGTGACCACGGTAACCTGGTACACTCAGCGATTGCCAGATCGAGTCGGTCAGCATTCCTACCTGAGTTGCGCTGATGATCCTGTCATGATACTAATACACTAGTGTTACGAGCCGCGTCACTGTCTGGAATCGCCGGTGGTCACCTATGTAGTAAAACACGACACTGTTAGTCGCTTGAGCCTCAAGCCCATGAAATGAAATCTGAAAATATGAAATCGCATTTGTTAGGGCAGGTCTGCGCCCGACCGATAACATGCATGCAACCCTGGCAAGGAGACGCCGACCATGCAACCCTGGCAGGGAGACGCCGACCATGCAGCCCTGGCAGGGAGACGCCGACCATGCAACCCTGGCAGGGAGACGCCGACCATGCAACCCTGGCAAGGAGACGCCGACATGCCTTACTAACACTTACCGCGCGCGGTCATAAAGATGCGTGTAGCGCTCAGTGCGTAGGACATTTCAACACGGTGCATTTAATGGCAAAGAATCCGTCCTTATCTCGTTCTTCGGAGCTTCTCGTTTGTGTTCACTGAGATGTACAAGCTCATTTTGAAAGAGCGATCAGATTGAGCATCTTCATCTTAGGACAATATCACCAATACGTGTTGCAGCCCACTGCAACGGAAAATGATTACTATGTTGCGACACCGCTCTCTGATTGGTGTAAACACCAGCTGTGCTTCAGACCCAGGCTGCTTCGTATTGGGAATAATTATCCCGTGGCATCGTCCTTCCTTCCCCAGCACACACGACTTAGACCACCAGCCCGCTTCTCTTCATGCTTGCCACAGAATAGGCGAAAAACACGCCTCACTCACTTGCGCATTTAGATTTGGTATTTTTCTAAGTGTAATCCCTTTCTTGCAGCGATCCAGCGACAGTCGTCCGTCAACATCGAGCTTCCACTTCCAGCGTGCGAGCGAACGGCAGCTGATGACCCAGTTGTGCTCTAATTATGCTCCACTACTCCATTCATAAGTGAACACAAAGCCCATACGCGTGTGTAAAAGGCAGACACCAATATCTGCAACGTGCGGGGCGTGATGGACGGCTCAGGCAACCAGGAGTTAATTATTTTGCTGGCTCCTGACCTAGAGAATAAACGCTGTGATATGCCAGAAGCCTTTGACCAATCGCAGTTGCAGAAAGCAAGGGAATGGCTTTCGAATTAGAAGACAACCAGGGCTATCCAAAACCTATACTCGTCTATACTCTTCCATACCGAGCATCGTGCACCCGAGGCTTACGTAGCTTGACCTTATTTTGGAGTCCTCAACAGCATGTGACTCCTTGTCAGTCCTGGATAGCGGCGAACGAATATAGTAACCCAGGACGCCTACACCCAAGCGTTACCAAATGTTGGGCATCTACTAGTGGCGACGTGAGTAAATCTTGATAGTAAAAATGTGACGAAGTCACGTAAAAATAAGGAGATTGAGAACAAGCGATATCAGTTTTTTTTAGCAAGAAATTGCGCACGTTTGTGGCGCGCTAAGCCCAATGTTCAGCTAAAATCTCAAGGCTGAGCTCCGCGCCCCCCCCCCTTCCTCCCCTTCATTGTGAAACTGCGTACGCTGTTAAGTCATAAGTCTAGGAAGCCGAAAACGTCTGGTGGAAATTGGTCTCTCTCTCTCTCTCTCTCTCTCTCTCTCTCTCTCTCTCTCTCTCTCTCTCTCTCTCTCTCTCTCTCTCTCTCTCTCTCTCCTTCTCTCTCTCTCTCTCTCTCTCTCTCTCTCTCTCTCTCTCTCTCTGTCTCTCTCTCTCTCTCACTTCTCATCCCCATCTTTCTTTCTCCTTTCCCCTCTGCCTTCCCTTGACTCGTTTTTCCCTCTCTCCTATCGTCCTCTCTCTTATCCTATTCTCCACTTTTTATTGCCAGTACGAACGCGGATTAGAAATAACTATATCATGGTATGCACATTATTCATGTTTCTGTACCAATGACCACTTGGTACGTGCTTAGCGCATTAATATTTGACATGACCGTTATAACTGCAAGCCTGAGCTGCAGTCGGCGACCAAGGTGGAAGATCTAAGAATTTCCACTAAGCTTAGCGAACTGACTGTTATGTGTTACGGTATGTGTTATGGTATGCTTATTTTGCTTAGCGTCATTCACTATTTCATGCTGTTTTAATTCACTCATGTTGGGCGTTACCTTGTGCCTTTGACGTGCATAAATACTGCATGATGTTGTCTTTCTTCACCCCGCCGTTTTCCGTCGCCTTTTTTCGACACAGACCCAACCTCTCGCGGAAGCGCAGGAGGTTCCCGGCGCACTGCGCATGCGCACCACGAGCTGGCGGTCGCCGATGCGGCCGGTGTGGAAAGTCGCCAGCCACCATGTCAGGCAGTGTTGGGGGAGAGTGGTGACCGGGAGGAGGCGCCACCCAGTGGAGGTTCGTATGACACGCCTCGCGCCCGAATGGTGCGCTGCTTAGGCCGATGCGTTCCGCGATTCGGGATGTTGGAGCGTAGGCGCCGCCCTTATTTTGATATTTTTCCTTCAACACATTTTTGGTTTTCACTGTAGCTAAGCCGCTTATTAGGGGACTAAGAAACCATTGACGCGCGCATTGCGTACTTAGTTCTCGTTTTTTGGCCCTGATGAAGCTTAAAGCGTCAGATTTTTTGCTCACGACCGACTATTCCGTACGGAAATGGCTAGGTGCGCTACATTTTGTTTGTAAGAAGCATCACTTGCAAAGAAGCTTTTAAGCATGGTTTGCAGGAACGTAATTAAATTAGCCGTACATCGCCGCCCCGCGCGCCTTGCCGCGCGTGTGAAGCTTCGCTCTCGCCGACCGCGAACAGGACTCCCAGTCATCGCGATCGTTTCCCAGTTTTGTCCGGTGCTCTTTTCACTTGCTTACAGCAGCGCAGTAGTGTTCGACGCGGACCAGACAACAGCTTGCGTGGGAGCTGGGAGAATTGGTGGGATCCTGGGACCGTGGGAGCTGGGAGAAGCGGTCCCTGGGCGGCGCGAGTGCGCCCGTGGACCGCTTCAGGCGTGCAGGTTGAAGGTGACGATGTTTTATAATCGTCCTGTGCTAATGGTGAGGCGGTCGTTGAGAATACAACCGTCTGCCTATGTCCTGGGCGTGCCCCGACTGCGTTAGCCCCGTCAATTCAATAACAGGCAAACATTTACGTAAGGCATGCAGTGGCGTACCGTCACGTCCCACCGCCCTGGGGCGTGCCGTCACGTCCCACCGCCCTGGGTGATGACAGTTCGCTCATAGCCCTCGATAGTTCGGGGGAAAGTCCTAGGACGTAGTAGTAGACTGGCAATGGTCGCACGCCGTGGCCTTGGGGGAAGAGGGGAGCCGCCAAGACTGCCCGCTGCCAGTGTGGCAGCGATGCGTGGGACGACGGAAGCGAGGTGTCGGTAAATTCGTCGGCCTTTTCTACGGGCAGGTCCTCAGTGGCACCCCCAACTCCCTTCACTGGCTGAGGAGTAAAGCTTTCAATGCCTTCTCAGAAACCGTCAAGGCCGGTAAGCATGGATTCGTACAAGAGGCCACGCCTCGACCTCGCAAAGCGGCCCATCACGTAGTTCCCAAAACATCGGTAAGCCACTAGGTCGGTTCCGGCCCAAGATTCACGCCATACTCGGTACACGTTATCGCGCTGCCATGCCAGACATCGCAGGCCAGGGCTGTCCTCAAACCGTGGACAGTGGGAACGGCGACGGGGTGATGCGGTTTTAAGCGAGCAATACACGCCCACCATACTTCACCACACACGCATGAGCTCGGGCACTTTCCGCTCCACTTCCTCATTCCGGTAAACTGGACTGCAGTCCGTCTACAGTAGATCGAAGAAGAGCGCATGCCAGTTTACCTTGCGCCATGGACGCATGATGAAAGGCGTTGAACGACAGCGGGTCGACTGAATGGTGCGCGGACAATGATGGTCAGGTGATCGGCGATCGGCTCAGTCAACACCTGGACAGATGACTCCAGGTCAAGAACGTTGGTGATGATGTGATCTTTGAGAGTCTCGATCGGGTACAGATGCGTGCGTGTCTTGATGAGCTGGAATAGGCTGAGGTCGCTCAAGACAGAGCTATAACGACGCACACCAGAGCCGTCCGCACGTAAAAGCTCGACATTCGTACCACCCAGGTAGAATGTCGGCTTGCGCAGGCTCACAGCAGCATGCGGCTGGTGGTGCAAGTTGTCCAGACCGTCCGACATCGACTGAGACGGCGGACGGTAGATGGCGGTCTCTGTAACAGTCCGACGTCCGCCGCCCGAGATCAACACTTAGAGCGAATCGCAGGCACCTCGTGTGCCCAAAATTGGAACGACGTTCATAGCGAGGTTTTCTCGGCATAGGATGACAGGACCACCGTCTCGGGCTGTTACGGAACCGTCTCGACGCACCAGTCCAGGAACCGGGAAACACAAGTCTTCAACGTGTGACAGAAAGTGCTAGTCACGGGGCGGCGTGACCAGTCGCAAGGCACGGCCGTGCCCTCAACATCCGATCTTTCTCAGCATGCTGAATCATCAGTTTGCGTTGGGCGGGCCAGGACATACGTCGCTGCATCATTCGTGGAGCTACGTGCAAGCGGCAATCTGCAGCAACGCTTCTTAAGCGTTACATCAGATGGACCGGTTTACTTAAGACCTGTGAAAGGCTTCCGGCGCGGGAGCCTTGCAAAACAGCTCAAGCCGTAAGTGCGCTTTCTCGCGTTTGCCACAGAGGCAGACGATGGCTTGTTTTGCCCCAATAAGGATGCTTTTTGTGACATGGGCGTCTGGATGCAGTAGGGCTAAAATGCGTGTTATTACTGATGCGATCTTTATCCCGGCTCACACTTTTCCCCCGAATGAGCTAGTTAGGAGTCGCATAACTAAACGCGGAAAAATATCAACGATCATCTACATGTAAATGGGCATCACACCACAGGTCGTCTGGGGCGAAACACGCCCAGATATCATATTTTGTCATAACTTTGGGTAAAGGACTATCTGATATTCCGACTCAACCAGTCTAGTTTTCAACTCAATCCAGCCTACGGCTAACTTGTTGTACCTTGGGCATTCCTGAAAGGCCACAGCAGACAGCTGTTTTGGTAGCTTGCAATTTATATAACAATTGAAATAAGCTGATAAATTTACATATCGGGCCTCTAAATATGTAAAGATTTCGATCAATATCGTCATTCCATCTCGTTAAAAAGTTTGACTGGCTGGCCTCATGACATGTGATGACGTCACTTAGTTTGAAAAAATTCAGTTCAAAATGTATCATTTTTGGTTCCAAGTGGACCTTGTTGACTGCTTATAGCCTACTTCCGCATCGAACATCAAGCTTTCTACAGCTCAAGATTCTCATTGTCAGTTGGGGCAGCTAACTGACCGATGTCATGAAAAAGGAGCCCTGATTTGGTGCGTCCTAACTCCGACTTCAGGTCATGGGAAGCTGGAGTACAAGAGACATTGTGTAACTTAGTGTTCTACCTACACAGTAACTACGGAGTGCATTCTTCCATGCCTCATGTGGTGCCCATCTAATCCAAAGACATGCACGCATACCTAAATTTCTAGATAAAGTACAGTTTCTGATCAGCATCTCAGCGCCGACACCGCTCTGAAGACGACGGGATTGTGAGCTTGGTAAATGATTTTAAGCAGATAGTGTGTGTAATTCCCGTGCTTGCTTATAACCCTGAGCCAAGTTCAATGTCATGCTATCGATAACGTGAAGGTAATGCAAATTTTAACGGAACTACTGCCTTCATCATCTCACACGTTACCCATGGGTTCGTGGCCGTAAGCGTGCAGCGCTCATTTGGATTTGGTCGCAACAGCCCTTTGATTTTCATGATGACTTTGTTCAAAATAGCGGATGGATTTATGCAGTTTTCGCAGACGCTTACACTTTTTTGTCCTGCACATTTTACTGTAATGCGAATGGAATTAATTGTCATTCAAACAGAACGCAAGTGCTTTGGTATGTTAAATGACACATTTTTTAGAATGGTATCAACAAATCGTTCTGTTTGGGGACCTGTGGAGCTAGAGTTGTTGCCCTGCAATCTGTGCACAATTAAGCACTCTCACATTAATCGCCCTTTGTCGAAAACTTTCCTTTGTTGCTTTATCGCCTGATGCATTTACCCGACATCGCCTAAACTTCTCACCAATACTCATGCCTGCGATTTCCCACAGTTTGCTCCAAGCCAGCCCGTTCGGACACTGTAAGCATTGCAACGGTAACCAACGCTCCCATTCCCATGTGGGTTCCCGCGGGCTCAACCAGCCAGCGGGCGCTCTTGACTCGGGTGTCTTGCCCGTGGTGCTGGCAGGCCATGATGAGGTGCCCGTGGTGCTGGCAGGCCATGATGACGTGCCCGTGGTGTAGGCGGGCCGTGATGAGGTGCCCGTGGTGCTGGCAGGCCGTGATGAGATGCCCGTGGTGCTGGCGGGCCATGATGAGGTGCCCGTGGTGCTGGCAGGCCATGATGAGGTGCAGCCGGTCGCTCGGCGTGGTGGACCGGGCGCTGAGCGTCCAGTTCCACCGTCTGGGACTGGCCATCGGCCGCCGGCCCGGCTACTTCCTGCTCGTGCCCGTGCTGCTCTCCCTGCTGGCCGCCACCGGCGTGCAGCAGCTGCGGTACCAGGACGACCCCGAGTACCTCTTCTCGCCGGAAACGGGCCGCGCCAAGACGGAGCGCGCGCTCGCCAACCGGCTCTTCCCGAGCAACTTCAGCGCGTTCAACCCGGGCCGCATCACCGACTCAGGCCACTTCGTGCGCCTGATGGTCACCGCGCCCGGCGGCGGCTCGCTGCTCCACACGGCCGCCTTCGACGAGCTGGTCCAGCTGGACCGGCTGGTGCGCGCCGTTGAGGTGGACGCCGGTGAGGAGCAGTGGCACTATGACCAGCTGTGCGCCAGCTGGGGCGACGCCTGCCTCGACAACGTGGCCTTGCGCCTGCAGCCGTACGTGGCCGGCGTGGAAAGTGGCGCCATCAACCTCACCTTTCCCGTCTGGTTCAGCGACAGCTTTGACATGCTGCTGCTGGCGGGCACGCTGGGCTCGCCGCAGCTGCAGGACGGCGTGGTGACGGCGGCGCCGGCGCTGCAGATGTTCTACTGGGTCGGCAACCACGTTTACTTCGACGTCAGCGTGTAAGTACGGGGAGGCGGAGCAGAATGGTGGTGGGGTGGAGATGCGTCATGCCACCGAATCATGGGTTTTGGGTAAACATGGTGCCCTTTTGCAGTCGATGCATTCAGGTCGGTGTAAATAGCAAATACCCGTTCACTGTCCGCTTGGTTCCAGTCAGGAAAAGACAGTTAAGTCTAACGAAACTTAGTTCAAATGAATAACTGACCACACGCGCATGCTGGGTTCCAAGTGCCTAGCAAATAAAACCTATTGCAAGTTAATAACGGCACGGCTACCTCTGTCGTGTTGAAACTGACTGTCTCGCCAAGAAGCTGACTCTCCTGTGTAACCTTCGCAGGTCACTCAAGTGGGAGATGGCGGTGCAGGAGATGCTGGCCGGCACAACCGGCCAGTTCCAGCACATCAACGTGTCCCGCTTCGGCTCGCAGACGCTGAAGCAGGAGCTGGACACGAACACGGTGAAGGTGATCCCGTACATGGCGGTCACGGTCGGCCTGATGATCGTGTTCTGCGTCATCACCACCATGATGAGCGACTGGGTGCGCGCCAAGCCGCTGCTGGGCCTGATGGGCGTGGCCAGCGCCGTCTTCGGCAGCGGCACGGCCTTCGGCGTGCTCATGTACTGTCAGCTCGAGTTCATCGGCATCAACCTCGCCGCGCCGTTCCTCATGCTCGGTGAGTGTCGCCGCCGCCGCCGCTGTTCATCACAAGGCGCGCGCTCCCCCTCACGCCGGGCTGGTGTCGCCGCTATTGTAAGCGGTCCTCAGGGGATCAGCTACCTCCAGCTCCCGCTCCACCATGCCATGTAACTTCCGCTCCAGCTGTGGCAGTTGTAGCCACGTGCGATGACCGCCGTGCTGCTGTGCCATCGTCTGCTCTCTCCGATCTCACTCAGAGCTCGGGAGCCCCCAGCTCCCGCGGGTACTTGCTTAGAAGGTTGGGGCTCGAGCAGGAGCATGCAGGACTCGAGCAGGGGACGTAGGACTCGAGCAGGAGCACGCAGGACTCGAGCAGGGGACGTAGGACTCGAGCAGGAGGACGTAGGACTCGAGCAGGAGGATGCAGGACTCGAGTAGGGGGACGTGGTTCTCGAGCATGAAGACATCGAGGGGCCAGCTGAATGCAGACAGAGGGCTCAGTACCGACCCCTGACCCTAAACCTCGCCGTTCTGACCCTAAGCCGAGCTGCCCTTGACCCTTGAACGTTGACCTTAAATCCGGCCGCCAAGGTAGGCGTCGTTCAGAACAACCCAGTTCTTACGATGTGGAATGCGGCCGCACGTATGTCTGTTGCCCAGCCTTGAGCGTCCTGAGCACTGGCTTCTGAGCATCTTGAACTATCCCAATATTGGGTGACTGCCTCAAATTCTTCTTTCTAATTTGTCAGTTAGCAACAAGTTGCCACGAGGCCCTCGCATTCCCTCGTCCGGTACTTGTAGCCGCCAGTTTACTGGATCCGCACGACCTTGCCGCTCGGTGAAATCCACTTCTGCCGGTGACTACCAGCGGCCAGGACATAATCATTATAACAAACTTGCTTCTGTTCCCATTCTAAGCAGACACTTCGCTATCAAGGCCGGAGCCCCTGTCGTGCATGGAATACGTATAATTTCAGGTGAAGTGCAATTGCGGGACATGCTGGGATGGAAATCACACCTGGGGCAGCAGGTTCAAGCATTCGTCCACTCACACTTGAATAGCCTGGGATGACGGGCTGTCGGAAAATACGTGCCGCCGGGACCGCTCAGTGAGAGAAGCTCCCTCTGAAGGTCACCTCATCAGAACAGCACACAATGTGACCGGACGGTGTTTGTAGTCTGGCGCCGGGCGGTGAAGGGCGTCCATCCACCCCTATCTTGCGGACTGACAGGTGAAGGGGTAGGCGGTGTGGGGGGATGGAGGAGCCGGGCGGCGCGGAGGGGTGGAAATGTTGGGAATAACACCACGATCGTTGGACCCATTGAGCTTTACTGAACTTGCATGATGTAGCTCGATCCAATTCATCAGTCCTGAATCTAACCCACCTCTAATATGCCTGTATGAAGAAGGCCGAACAACTTCCAATTTAATCTAATAAAGCACAAAATATGTTGCCAAAATATCAGGCGTCACATACAAAGGCGCAATAACCAGTTCATAACCTGACCCTTAACTTGCCCAGTCAGTCGCAAGCCATTTGCGCCGACACATTGTTAATCCAGGCCAGCCCTAATTTATATGTTTTGGCAGCTTTATGATTCAGTTGAGCCCAATGCATGTGGCAAAACTAAATTCATGGATTTGTCCAATCCAGGAAGGGCTCCAATGCTTCCTGATCCTGGATTTCGATTCAGAATCTTGATTCATACCCGAAAGACGAAGACGTGCTGCTTTGTAAGCTTACGAGGCGTACACGGCAAGCTTGTTTCTCGATCAGTGTGGGTAGTCTACCGCCAATGACGGGATAGCGGCCACAGCTGCGGTTAAGAATCAAACTCGCATTTTTTTCTGACCTGGGAACCCAAAGTCAAGCGGACGGGACTGCGCCGTGACGTCATCTCAACCAATGAGGGCGACAGGCGGGCTCCTTTGCGCTGCTTTGGTATAGGAAAACAACTGTCGGAGCTGCAGGCTCTGACAGGCAGGCCTTCTCAACATTTTAAGACGTTGGTCTTTGCGAAGTGGTGTTTGGAATAATAGCTTCCTTGATCTTGTAGCTTTGTTGAAAACAGAACGTGTTGTTCTATTGTTTAAAAATAGGCGCAGCTCATTCACCTGCTCATTAGTCATTCCGTACCGCAAGCGGCACCTCACACAAATAAATGGTGCTTTGTTTATGTATGCTGGCTAATTGCTGTAAAAGTTTTTTTCGGTCCGGGACGAACATTGGGGACAGAAATGCGAGTCGCCTCTGAAGGAATACGAAGTTTTACTCATACTCTTTTCGTCTGCAGTGTACGCACTACCGTCTCAGGGCCGTAGTCAGATAGTAGGCCCAACCTAACCGCCTACTAGCTGATTATGCCTTTAGGTAGATATGCCACGCATGCCAATGGGTATGCTTCATTCTGCTTGCGGTGGTAATGCCATATTTGTGGATCTGAGGCACAATAAACTCCGTGGCCACTAAACCAATTATTGTTTCGATGTCAGATCATCTGACGCGACAAGGATGATACCAGTTTATTTTGTTTTCTACATGCTGTTCCGGCAATCGTGTTTGTTATATTTCCGACTTTGGCGGAAGCGCAGGTGAGCAAGGTCCGCGCTAAGCTGCACAGTCCTCCGCATCCGCCCCTTGACTTTCGGCCGCCTAACACGTTGGCCCACTCCCAAGCCATCCATTTCGTGCTTGGCTGTCCCGTCAATTCTAGATCCTCTACAATGTAGCCATTTTGAGCGTCGCACGGCGCACACTTCCAATGGAGGCTGTTCGCCTGCAAACCCAGCGAGCTTAGCTCCGTCTGTACACTTTAGCTGTGCTTTTAGCATTCGCAAACCGATAATTGTCACAATGTGGAGCGTTGAGTGACGTCATTTGATTATACCGTTTCTGCTGTCAGTAGACCGTCTCAACCTTGACGAATCGGACGGTAGCGAGTCTGAAGGAAGGCTGGCCTGTTTGAAACGAAAGACCGTTTGTTTGGGATGTGGAGGTTGACAGATGTGCGGCGTATCGCAGCACCCAGTGAAAGGCTTCCAGACGTTTGCCATGGCCCAAGCTGCCATTTTTAGAGGTTCATCCTGGCTTGTGTACGGAGAAGTTGCGCCACACCAGCGTCTTACCTTTGTTGCACGGTCTTTTTCAAATGTTGAGATTCGTCAGCCGGTCTGACCAACAGTCGGCAGGGCGCCGGTAATACTCAGTGACAGAGGACTCAGTTGCGCAAAGTTGCCGCGCAACGTCCTTAATGAGTAGTTCATAATTCTAGTCTGGCGTCCGTAGCATTCCATGGGTGCTTTGGTTTGGTGGAATGGTGCAGACTGGCGTCGGCTTATGACCGGTCGGATTTTAGACGGGTCTCATATCACCCAGCCGATGACCGGCTTCTTTTTCATTACCATGACGCGACTGTGTTGTGCTTACCAGCGGGGACGCACGCACATAGTTCCCGCACAGAATGTATGGCATGCATTGAAATATATATATATATATATATATATATATATATATATATATATATATATATATATATATCTCTCTCTCTCTCTCTCTCTCTCTCTCTCTTTACCTATATGTATACCTAGACACACACACACACACATGCATATATGTATATATATAGATATAGATATAGATACAGATATAGATATAGATATAGATATAGATATAGATATAGATATAGATATAAATATAGATATAGATATATATATATATATATATATATATATATATATATATATATATATATATATATATATGCCGACGCGCTTAACTTGGATTTCAGATAAAATATTTCCCCCACATTGTTAAGTTCTGCGTACGGCCCTGATTGCAAGGAATATGCACTCTGTGTGGTGACGGATGTAACTGTAATGACCGTTACGTAATGAATGACGTCTTCTCCTGCCGTGGCTGATGGCTTGAAGGAATGTGTGAAACCTTAGGACCGTTTACGTTTAATAATATGGCTGGGTAGTACCTTTGCAGCACCATCAAGATCTGACAATGATATAACCGCGACAACTGCAGTTGTCGCGACCGCCGTCGTCATGACGACGGCAGAATCTGTTGAGAGCCGTTGTCACCTGTTACTGGTTAGAGGTATCACATTGAGCTGCCATAAATCACACATTGCGGGCCTACAGGCTTAGAAGTGGTGCCTCTACTGACATGAATTATGTCCGTGCGACACAGCGGCCGTCAAGGACCAGTTACCGCTAAGTGCATTGACTGAAGCTTGAACCAGAACATCACTATAGACAGTAACCACTTTGTTTTCCAAAGCCAAAGTGCGCTTCGAAAAGAACTACTGTGCTGAACGCCATTGCGTATCTTATTCCCTGAACAGAGTATTCGTAGCTTTTGTAGCTTTCGTAGCTTTTATTACACAAAAATTTTAGCAAATAAGAGTGTTGCAAACATCACAGAACTCACAGTTTGGAAAAAGCAGGGCACATAAAATGTATTACTTTTATAATGGTGATCGGGGAGTTCAATGATATTTCTTCCGCTGGAACGGCTACTTTAAATCAAAATTCTGAGCTATTTATAAACATTTCGCGAAAACTGGCACTGTCGAACCAATCGGACGCGCCTGATTTAGCAATAAGTGAAAAATACAAAAAAGTGGCATTTTGCTTATATTATCACCCCCCGTTTGATCTGTCGTCAGCACGATTGTCAGCCGAAATGCATGACGTCACGCGTGCTGACGGAGTGTTCGATGTGTGGGCTGACAGAAGAAGGGAAAGTAACGTTAAAAAACTTCCCTGTTACCTTTGACCTCTGTCAACACACTAACTTTGGCTTACCGCCGACCATGACACACTGCGCGCGAAGCGGTGTTTGGAAGTGTGGCTTCTGGACCGGTACTGCCATCATATGTCCCATCCATATGTAAAGTGCTTCTTCCCATTTCCAATTCATTTCGCTTTCGTCCTCTCATTTTAAATGTTTACTTACATAATGCTACTAATTTGCTGGGCAACGCAACCGCACGCCACACCAATCACTGTCACTTACCTTTTCATGGCTACTCTTCGCATTTCAATTCCCTCCATATTTATCGTACGGCGCATTTCCCCAAAAATTAGAGACAATCACTCCCGCCCACCTGACGTACTCGCCAACGCAAGAGCAACCAAATCGAACTCCCGTTTCAGTCGGAGGGATTTTTTAATTTGGGAACACCTTCCCCCATGCTGACAGGCTGACACAAAATCGTGGCATCATCGTCAGCCGGTGCGTGACGTCACAGACCACGTGACTTGTGGTCACGTGACGTGGTGTAGGACGAATACTGGGCCGTGACTGGTACTGACACATGTGCTGACAACAGATCGAACACGACCCATACTGTGACTTCGTGCAATGGTTGAGAACGACACCTTTGTCCTTCCCAGAACTCTTAATGGATCAGGGGTCAACAATGTTCCCTCGTCTTACAGAAAAAGCTCACCATTTACCCCATGTAGAAATGAAATTATAACTCACCAGGCCTCTCCTCGCACAACGCGTGAGATACGAGGGCGATGCCGCGAAGGATGAGAGAGAAGCGATCGCGTACGCCAGATGAGACAGGACATAGCCCCGGTCATCCACACATTGGCTTAAGACGCGTCACATGAAGGTGACTGCGACTCATCTACGAACGACATTCATCTCGCCAACTTGTCAAAAATATCGCCCGTCCGATTTCTCACTCGGAACGCCGCCCTTCAAACCAAACATGCTGGATAACGCGCCGTTTGTGGACCTTCGACAGAGGGCTTCATGGGTACGTCCTCCTGACCCACTCCAACCGCCACCCATCGGTCTGTGCCGAGCTTCGCTCGTCGCCCAGTTCTAACTACTTGTGCCCACTCGTTACCCACCCGTTTACATTTCTCCAGGTCTTCAGCTCTAAGGTATGGGTGAGCTGTGAGGAAGCTCACATCCAACGCATTGTTTTACGCTGAAAATTGTGGAAGTAGTGTGATTTGAAGCTAACTTTATTTTTCTAAAAACACACAAGAAGCGCACCCATGCCATTAATGTTTCCAAAATCTGTACCTGACCAACCCGTTATTTGACATTGTTCCCGATATATATATATATATATATATATATATATATATATATATATATATGTGGGCATGTGTGTGTGTGTGTGTGTGTGTGTGTGTGTGTGTGTGTGTGTGTGTGTGTGTGTGTGTGTGTGTGTGTGTGTGTGTGTGTGTGTGTGTGTGTGTGTGTGTGTGTGTGTGTGTGTGTGTGTGTGTGTGTGTGTGTGTGTGTGTGTGTGTGTGTGTGTGTGTGTGTGTGTGTGTGTGTGCGTGTGTGTGTGTGTGTGTGTGTGTGTGTGTGTGTGTGTGTGTGTGTGTGTGTGTACATTATTCGTATTGACAACACATTATTTATACACATCATCCATACCAATATCCTTGGGTTCGCCCAACCGATGAAGTTCTCTAATATGTGATGGCATGTCACCAACTAAAATACCATTTTCTGGGGTTCAACGCACACGGCGTGGTGCGTTGGTTGCTGACGGGCACATGCGGAACCACTGGTGCCAACCACGCGCAACGGGTGATCCCACTGCGGGACCAGTCTGATTACTTTCACCACTATGACAGTGCACAGTGTTCCACGCCGCGACGTCAATCATTGAGGTTTACGGTGTATGCCAGATGGACCCTCATCTTAAGTGAAAGGGATATTCTATCTTTGGACAAGGCTGTAGTTTGTAATCACCGTAACGCAGCAGAGTGTAACAACTATACAAATACATGAAATATGCAAATAACTATGTGAAAACGCACTACTCCATTTTCTGAACTCAAGGGTGATTAGTCTCGAGTTTATTTCGTTTTTTCCCGGTGTGCTGTCATCAGCAAAAACGAACCAAAAGGATAGCGACAGGTACCGCATGCGTGCAGTTCAGCAAGGTGGAATCATCGACAAGCTAACGCTTGGCTTTGTTTACAAGCACGATGCGTTTGGCCAGCGCCATCCGGACCATCGTCTCACCACGGCTGTATGTCTCAAAGAGCCCATCAGCGTGTGACGTCCCCCTACTTATTAGGTAATGTCATGCATTCTGTGACCTGATAAACAAATTATTTCCCTTTATTAACATTGCACCGTGGCCCAAGATACCTGCCAAATTTAATCAAACAGCCGATATCGGCTGCGTTCACCCAGACTTTTCTGACAGGCATTTTGTACAATGTTGAACACACACCAAGGAGTTGAAGGAACAACATACATTAGTTGACTGTGTACACAACACACACTCCGCGACACCTCATCTGCAAAATGAAAACATGGAGTGACCACAGGGCTGTGTAGCGATGTCTCACGAAAGTAAGAGTCATGACTTAGTACAACTAACTGACCAGGCTCAGATTCGAGCAAAAAAACCCGGGGATGGTTGACCTATTTTTCAGTACGCAAGGCCAGCGAGCCAATGCGCTCACCGCACCGGCAAGCCTGCAATGGTAGAGCAATCTAACCTGTTTTGACCTCGGCCTCCCGTGGAGCCCGCCCGACGCCGTGCACGTTTAGCACGTCTGACGGGCCAGGGTCGAAAACCGGACCGGGTCGCCGGTCCTACATCCATCCCATCTCGCGCAACTCTGCGCGTTGGGAAACGGCGCTGGGCCGGCGCAGGCGGCCGGCCAGTTGCCAAACTGGCGGTGGCGTCGCGGGCAGTGTGCTGCCAGTCTTTAGGCGGCCGAACGGGTAACCCAACGCCTCCATAAACCAGGCCGCCGCCGGCCGGCAGAAGAACCGGCCGCGGTCCGACGCTGGGCCATCCGGGTCGCCATTGGGTTATGCAATGACGTGGTTCTGCTAGTCGCCGAAGGACCGGCCTTAAGGCGTTTGTATTCTCGGAGCAAGCACGCGTTTTGGCAGATTGTCCTACTTCTTGTAGCACCGTAGATTGTGCAGGCAGGGCTAAGAGGATGAGTTCTTGGACCGAAATCACTTTCTCCTTTCCACTGATGTCGCCGTTGTCCACTTGTAGATCCACAGCTTAGGCTCATGCCTCTGACTGCTTATCTCATGCTTATGCTTATCCGCTGCTTATGACTGGACTGGGCGCACTGCATTGGTCTCACTAAGTCCCGCAGGCCATTCAGCCGTGAATTATGGAGGAAGACCGCGCTGCTAATGATGTGTTGGGGTGTTCTTAGGATATCATCTCGCCGTTACAAGCAAGGCGGGCCGCTGACGCCTCATCGTGCCGCTGACCCCCCCCCCCCCCTAGCGTGAGAGTCACCCCTCAGTTTAGCAACAGCCCCTAATGTTCCGCCGACCCCCAATGTACTACCTGCCCCTAAGCGTGTCATTGCCCCCCCCCCCCCTTTACCAAGCTACCACTGATCCTTCAGCGTGCTGCCCACCACTTAGCGCCCCACTGACGCATCATGGCATCACGTGCCCCTCAATTCGCTACCGTGCCACTCAGTCCTCAGTGTAAACACCTCAGAGTACCACTAAATCCCTGACGTGTCACGTGACACCCAACCTTCCTGTAACCTTCGCCGCCGGCCGGCAGGGATCGGCATGGACGACACGTTCGTGATGTTGGCGGCGTGGCGGCGGACGCCAATCCAGGACCCGGTGCCACAGCGGATGGCGAAGACGTACCAGGATGCCGCCGTATCCATCACCATCACATCGCTCACTAACATCATCAGCTTCCTCGTCGGCTCCATCAGTCCCTTCCCCAGCGTGCGCATATTCTGCATCTACACGGGTGAGTGACGCTGAAACACGAGGCATACAAGCAGACTCTTCCGCCCCTTCCCCCAGCCCGTCTGATATGCCTTCCGCGTTTTAGCGGCGGTTCGGTTCGGTTCGGTTCGGTTTGGTTCGGTTTGGTTCGGTTCGGTTTGGCTCAGTTCGGTTCGGTTCTCTCTGGTCAAATGCCTTTCATTCCGTGCGTTGTGAAGAGCAAGACCCACAACCGTCTTACCGGCTCCACCTGTACGGAAATCTACTGGCGGGGGAAGTTCGGTGGGTGTGGTTTGTGACGTCAGGTTGCAATCACACAGCAATCAGAAGGCCCAGCTAGTGCCGTGCGGCGGGACCGCGCGTGCCCAGCTTGAATCCCGACTGAACATCCATAGCGTCATGAATACTAACATCAGCCCAGGACAGCGTGATGTTTCTTTCTTCAGCTGGCTGCTGGACGCGCTCCAAATCACCCCACTCCACCCAAACTTTGAGAAGAAAGTTTGCCAAATTTGGTGGGCAGCCCGCTGCTTTTTCGCTTTCTTTCAGTGCACGTTAAACCATTTTTCCTGCTCAGGCCAACCCTAACTTGGTTTGCAAGACTACGCCTCTAACTCACGTGCAGTCTTTACGTTCCTGGTGGAGTCGGCACCGGGACGAGAATGGCGTCAGAGCCGGACGTGCGCCCGGTCACCCAGGCTTCACTCGGGCCCAGCAGACGCCTAGAGGCGGCGCGGGGCGGGCAGCCGCCCAAGCCCGTACAATGACCACGGCGCGCGTGGGCGCACTCGGGTGTTTGTCCTGAGGGCGGACGTGGGCGTCTGTCCCCAGAGCAAGCATCCCGTCATCGTCCAGCTTACACCCTCGAAGCCTCCTGACCTTCAGCAGCTGCACGCGAGTCCATCGTGCAATGCGAAGCATGAGGACAGGGACCTGCAGGTGAACAGTCACAGGTTGACGGTGTAGCAGTGCTAGTGACTTGACGCTAACTAAGGCCATGCCGGAGGCAAGTCGCACCGGCCCAGGACGACCTTGTGCGCCCGAGGTTATCTTGTGGAGGGGGGGGGGGGGGGGCGGAGGGGAGACAAAAAGCCGACGGGCAAGCAGGCGACCTGGGCCCCGCTTCCGGCACAACCCTGCCGGCAACGCCTCATGTTTGGTGGACGCGGGTTGGCTCTCCGTTACGTACAGCTCACCGGGACGGGTGACGGCCGGAAGAGCACCTCGATCGAGCGCCGGGCGGCGCCGGCCGCTAGCGTAAGCTCAAGCAGAAAAGCGACGTTCAAACACGGACATGAAGGGTCTTTCGTCTGTGAACTCTGGGTACTTGTTGAGCTAGCTGTGATCATGAAACTCACACGGTCATGCGCACATTCAGATGGCTGTCCTGTGCTCAACTGACCACACTGTTCGGACTGGCAGCACCAGTAAGACGTTCGCGCTATACTGGTCTCTTCCAAGTGCCGTTTGGAAGTGTCAGTATGGTAAGAACAGGGTTCCCTATCTGCATTGCCATCAGCTGCAGCCGTCTTCTTCTGGATATCCCAACAGCTCCATTTGTCATCCGATATCATTCCGTTCTCATGCAGGCAGGTTTGCCAACAGTGTGGGCAGGTTCACTTCCTCAATCTGCTCGCCAAAATATTTGGGTAACTCTGCAGGCGTATTAGCGTGCATGTTTGTGTGTTTGCGCATGTATATGAATTGTTTTAACCTTTTTACTACATCGGTAAGCGAGTACCTATCGAACCTGTGGATTGCTTACGAGAAATAAATAAATAAATTGACTTCCTCGTCCGCAATTACATTACACTACGTCAACGCCATGTCAATAGGTGATGCACCAGGACTAAATCTCGAACTTCATCTCGCATATCACGGCCGTGAGTTTAAACTCCCACACCAAAAACACCGCCCCTCCCCTGACCTGGTGCACCCGGCGGTGGCCTGACCAGGTCGCAGGTCAGTGAGCTCCGCCTGCCCGCGTTACAGGCCTGTCCGTGCTGATGACATACCTCTGGCACGTGCTGTTCTTCGGCGCGTGCATGGCGCTCTCAGGCTACGCCGAACGGCGGAATCTGCACGCCGTTACCTTCAAACCGACGCTGCCGGTCTCCGAGTCAGGTGCGGGGTCTGGCCAGGTTACGGGGGTCAGGCCGGGTCACGAGGGCCAGGCCGGGTCACGGGGGTCAGGCCGGGTCGCAGCAGTTTCGTCAGATGTCATTAGATCAAGCCCGTGACCGGAGCATGATGCGGATCTGTGAATAGTATTTGCATGTAGTTCGCAGATGACGTTATGAAGACTGACGTTATGAAGACTCGGTATGATGCCGTTGTGTGTGAGTGCCTCACGCTTTTTGCGGATTATAAGAATTTCTGCAGTGTTCTAAATGTAGCTGAAATGAGGGAAAATGGGCTGGGTTATCAGGCCTGGTGAAAGCAGGGAAACTTATGGCAGGGTAGGTAAGACGACCAAATCAGTTTGTGACGGGTTGGCCACTTTGGCTGGACCAACGGAAGGTCAGCTCAGCCAAAATGAAATTCGGAGTTCAGTCTCATGCAGCGAAAATACTTTGAAAACACTTGTTTTTTTCGTCGATTTAAAGTCGCTCATCAGCGAGTAGTAATGCAAACTTGGGTTCGAGGGTTCGACTTGATTTAACCGCTCGCTATTAGCCCTTGGCATGTATGGCCTGCGGCCGGTGTCCGTAGCCGCGCTAAAGGTCAGGTGACGTCAGAGAACAGGACGGAACGTCCCGAAGATTGCGGCACTTTGTTTTTTTCGCCAGCTGTCTTTTTTCTTGCTTTCGTTCTTCTGCCTTTCTTGTGTTACCTGTTCGCCAGCCTTCGCTACCAAATTATGCTGTTGACATGACATTGCACCATCGAATGGCAGGGGCCAGGGCTCACATAAAAAGCACAGCTTAGCGTGAGGTCTGATCCCACAAATCCATCCATTCACGAAGGCTAGGGTTAAGTCTTAACACGCGCCCGGGTGTTGGGGGGTCAAATTGCCCCCCCCCCTCGAAAGTTTTTCCGGAATGGCTTCCGAACGGCGCCGCGTAGTCGCGCCAAATTTTGCATAGCTATAGACAATTGAATAGCGGATCGTTTGGCATCAAACATTTAGATATGCCTTGTGAGATCGCTGACCTATGGCAGGTCAAAGTCAGGCCATGGTTTCAGCGAAGGCAATTTCGGGGGAATCCTTCAACCTGATACAACAACGGAGTGTTAGACAAAACCAGACATCTCTGAGGTGCTTTCTTAGACAACGCAACAGTTGAATGAGCAAATTACATCGACCTAAGGTAGGTATGAAGGTCACACGTAGGTCAAAACTAACCTGTTTTGTTTCTCTAGGGCTTGCTGTATGGGATAGTTTTTCGTGCTCATTTCGAGTTTATTGACAACAGGAACCACATTATAAATCTTTCATGGACTTCTTAGAGGTCAGAATAGGTCATTTACCTAAAATGACCAAGGTCAACATTTTGTTGTAGGGGCATACTGCCTAGCGTAATCTTTGTCGCTTAGTCAAATGCAAAACTCAAAGCAATCTTGTATGCTTTTGGTCACCTTGACCTTCAAAAGGTCAAGCAATGTCACTGACCTCAAATGAGAATGTGACCTTTTGCTTAGAAACGGTTATCTAGGTTCTGGGGCACTTTGGAGACCAAGATGGAATTTGACCTTGTTGGACCCTTTTTGACCCAAAGGTCATGACCTAGGAACCTGAAACTTTGACCTAAGTGAGTTCACGTACAGATCGACACACCCTGTGAATTTGGTGTTTCTAGCTCTCTTAGTTCCCGAGATCTCAAGGGAAGGGGCAAATTGACCCCCACCCGAGCGAAGGTTATCTAGCCGGCCACCCGGGCGCGTGTTAAAGAAACGTACAAAACGACCACACTGTGCCATTTGTTGAGCCAGCCCTAGCCAATGTCGGAATTCTGATCTTACTGAGTCATTTGTTCCCTTGCATCAGGTGAGTTTTGGCTGCAGTCTCCACGGAGCGAAATTAGCCAGTGATGTTGACAATAGCTCGCCAGTTTCGGCTTAGCCAGGCCAGGCCGGCTCATGCAGGATAAGTCTGGCCCGATCCCAGCGTGTGGGGAAAGTCGGAGAAGTGGTGACCGAAACCGAATCGCCTCCGTTGGGTAAGCCAAACCGGAGCCAATTATATCCCAGTGTTTGCGGTTTGCCGGCTGCACCCAAATGCAGCGAGCTACACAATGAACCAGTCAGCCTTATCAGATATCACCCATGGATTCACCTGACCAACATCCAAATCACTAATGATTTCAGCGCGGTGATTGAATAGTCAACTGCAGTGTAAATTACGCCACATAACGGCCTCAAGCGTGTCTTCAGTGGCCTGTTTATTCTACCCGCTGAATGCATTATGAACTAGCATCTTTCGGTCACAGGGTCCAAATCACTAGCGTACCGCCTCTTCTGCTCCGGTGGCATCTCCGAGACAGACCCATGGAACAAGAACGACAACCGCGAACACACTCTGATGGTGTTCTTCAGGGACGGAGTGGCGCGGGCCCTCAACATCCCTGCGGTGAAGGGTGAGAACCATGTGGAAACCTGGCCTGTTTGGTGGCAGAGCTGCGTGGTGGCGCGAACATCAGTCGTTCTCTCACGCCATACAATGACCGGTCCGTTGCGCTGAACGGTTGTTATTTGTGCCTACTTTTACAAGAGTACAATTGTATCCGCAGCTTATTTGAAGGAGTTCCATTGTGTCCATAAAACTGTTTTCACGTAAGCACGAATTCCCTCAGGTCTGTATGTCCTTGAAGGAATGTTCCACGTCTAAAGATATTAAAGCAAGCATCAGATGTGATGAAATAAGCTCACTTATACCTATTGCTATACTTTGAGTAGAAAAGAATGCCCTGCACAGTTTCAGCACACATTCAGCACAGCACAATTTCTCTGGTTAGTAAACATACTCCTCAAAGCGTCATTGTTTAATTACGTCATCGTGCCTTGTACAACATTGATTGAGAGCCAATTGACGGCCGTTTCATCTAGAAATTGTGTTCACGAACGCCAAATTTGAAGGACTCGACAATGCCATTTTTGGGCCTTGATCACAGCATGGCTAATGGAATGGCGGGACGTGAATGGCCTTATTACGGCATCTGGATGCTTGTGTAATCTTGAAATAGTGTCCCCAAAATAGTCTGTCATGTTCGTTGGCGTGTCGCTCAGAAACTAGAGGAATTTAGGTCTTGAGAAGGGCATGACTATAAACTGCATTCAATAATTCAAGATGGTCATTTCAGCTCAAAACCCCATGAAATGTGG